AGTTAGTGAACGTCTTTCTCCATCTTGCCCCACTAAGTAGAAAAAAATCGTCGACTATTTTTGCCGAGCCGGTGACAAGAGGAGTGACGGGAAACAGCCGCTTTCTGGTTCGACCGACTCTGTTATGATTCCCCGAGACCTCGAGGCGAAAAGAAAGGAAGGGAAATTAGTTCACATTTACCGTTAATTAATTCTCGTGTATCCCTCTCCTCCTCCGCTGCCGTCCTTTTTTTATAGCTACGTCCTACAGGAAGTGGTGCCGTGGTTCAGACGTGGCAGCTCACGGAGGAAGTTTACCGTCTCCCCTCAACTTCTGCACCGGGAATAGCTTTAGTTTTTTTTCCCCAGAAACTTCCAGGGCGTCCCGTCGAAGCAGCTACCGCGCGCTGTTTGAGACAAACGGTGACATTAAAAGGCTAAGTAAAAGTTGACATGAAACAAATATCCCCTCAAATACCCCTGTAACCGCAGTGAGATGGAGTTGTACGCTTTAAAAGTGTCAGACTGTGAAAAAGCACCGTAAAAGTATCGTTCCGTTTTCACAGCTGAATATCACTGCGCGTGGTTAAAGCATGTGGGACCCACTTTTACTGCAGTTATAATACCTATCACAGCTAAATATGCAGCTGTGTGTATAAAAAATGTATGTATGAATGTAGAATCCATTATATAGGCTAACCACTGCAGAAAATCTACGCTTATGTCGCCCTAAAGTCAGTGGTATCTGTATCCTACTGGGGTTATGTAAGCATTATACTTGATGCTGTACAAAACCACAATAAAATATGGCAAAGTCTCTATAGGGATATGTTTCAGCTGTTCCCTGAGAGTTCGAATGGTTTATGTGCATGCTATTATGGTCCTGGTATAGTTTTTAAAACGAACAAAAAAATCCGCCAGTTGCAGTAAATGAGGCGTTCCTCCATACATTCAAAAGCGGTCTTTGTGGCTTTGCCTGGATAATAAACCCTCTTGTTCTTGGCTCAGCTGGAGGTTGTAGTTCCCAAAGCCACTCAAGCGGGGTCGCTAATGGTCTTCTCATCGCCTCGGCTCAGTGACCCTGTGAGAGGCTGCAGCATGTGGGCCAGGGCCTCGCGAACCTGACACCCAGCCCTCCCAGCGGAGAGGATACGGAGCAGAGACAGCAGGCAGAGGTTTGGTCCAGGCAAATCCACCTGAGGGGTTTAGCTTCGATTTAGTGTTTAATCTGTCTGATATTTTAGAATGGGCAGCAAACAATATCGTGTTTAAAATAGCCCACCTTTTAGATTCTTTCATTTTTTTATTTTCAGTTAATGAACTGAAACTTGCGGGTGACCCCCACATTACTCCCAGTGCGCCCTAACACCCGCACCACCTCACTTTGCAGTAGCCGGACTAATGCAGTCTACTGTCAAGAAAAAGTAGGGCAGACCTGGAATACGTCTGACCCCTCCACATGTCCTCATTCTTTATTCTTCTCGTTCCCCTGTCTTCCGCCTTCCTAAAATGTACCTGCACCCCCCCCCCCCTGCAGCAGGACAAGGAGCGCGGGGCCAGATAACTTGTAACACGCGGCTTCGGGACAAGGATTATTGCCCAAATTGAAGGATGGAGAATCGTCATATAGGGTCTTAATCAATAAAAGTGGAGATAGACTAAGGAGGCTAGAGAAGGATCAGAGAGGAATATGGAGGAAGATAACTGCTCGAGACCACCAATGCTCAGCAATCAGGCCGAACATGACAGCTTGTAGACCCAACCAATTATTTACCCCAGCCAAATCAATAGAGCTCTCTCCGAAAGATAACCATCAGCTGCACTATCTGGAACGCATTCACAGCAGAACTCACAAACACACACTGAGCACTCTGCTCGCTGCCACTCTCGCTCTCCGTCTCTTTTGCAGACACACACACACAGACAGACACACGCACACACTTCCCTCGCAGACACTTTGTTATCAGACGTCCTTGGAAATAAGGCGCAAATCATTGATGCTAATTATTGGACATCTACACTGAGAAGAGAAACGGCGTATGTCAAACCGTGCCTACGGCGAACGTGAAATCGCATCACACTTAAAAGAAACTCTCGCACGCACACACACACACACACACACACACACACAGTTGAGGCCGACGGTGCTGTGTGTGTGCATGTTAGTGTTGTGATGAGTCGATGTGTGCAACGTCAGAGGTCTTAGCCCTCGCCACGTGAGTCACTGCCCCCCTCATGGGACCCCCCCCCCAGCAGCACATCACAGTCAGTCTCGTCAGTAATGAGCAGCGACACGTATTACAGTACACTTGCGCAGCAGTTAAACGAGTCCCCGGGGAACTGGTTGGGAACCTGAGAGGCCTCCCTCAGTCAGCGGATTGTGCATCTAGGGATTTATAAAGGGATGGACTTTAACCACAATGCACCGCCAAACATCTTACCTTTTACCCCCCCCCCCCCTTCGAGGGCTCGCCTGCACCCTGCCCCGTTCGCCCTCACCCCTCCTCACAGTGTCCCAGCCTCAAGCCCTGATTCAGTTTTCCTGCTCCAGATGTCATTGTCTTAGGCGGTAAATGTTGTGTTTCACCTCACACGTTATCCGTTTAATGCGGCCGTTGTTCTTGGCTGTTGTCGAGGTTAAACGCTTGTGGCCAAAGGGCTGGTCGGGAGAATCAATGAATGCTGTTATGGTCACTGACTGGCCTTGAGCTATATCCACTCGCCACATGCCCGAATCTTGCACTCATTTTCTCTCTCTCTTTCTTCCAACACACATCCACTGTTTCACACATATTGTATCCTTTATTTTATTTCACCCCTCTCTTTCCCCTTCGCTCTTTCCAGAATGAGTTATTTCACTTTGGACTACTCAAGCTCAGCTTCCTGCGACTCCTTTTTTATTCCATAACTTCCTCTTTCCCTTCCTTTCCTTTTTCATCCATCCCTCCATGTCACTGTGCCTGAGGTTTAAGTAGTTCCCTGTATACTCCTTCTACCTCTGGGGCTCCACACACACACACACACACACACACACACACACACACACACACACACATTACCTTCTCCTTCCTTTCCTGGAAGAGAAGTGACATTTCTAAGACGGGACATAAAGCAGACACTACCCCTTTAATGTAAAACCGACCTAAAACAAAGAATAACTTTTCTTATGAATATATTAAAGTGTCCTCCCACAGCGCTCTTTCGTCTCCCACCCTTTCCTCCAACTTCTCCCACCTCCACTGTCGATCCCTTTTCCTCTCTGCTTCTCCCCTCCTCTCCTCTCATTCCTTCACCCCTTAACTCCTACTCTTTCCCCATCTCTGATTGTCCCTCTCCAGCGCTATCTAAATCTCTCCCCGTCCCTCTGTGTCTCACACATTCTGGAGTCCATACAGAACAAACAGCGTAAGCGCCCTGTTCTCGTCGGTTCTGGTCTGCCTGTCTGTCATCAGCTCGTGGCCCGTTTCAACTAGTACAGAGCTGGTTTTAGGCCCCGTCTGGACAGGCCCGCAGGGTCCTGTTGGTTTACGTCAAGTTCCATTGTGGTCCTTTCAAATTAGGGCTCTTACTCAATGTCTGGCCGAGCTGCTAAGCTGCAGCCATGATTTTTATTGAAGCATTACCTTAACCCCAGCTTCACCCCCGCTGGAGATCCCGTGCCAAGCCTTGACCGTAAATAAAAGGGAAACATATACAGTGATGTTGATAGGTTTTTAGTGTAGTCAGGCCCCGGGACCCACAGGTGGTCATTTGAGTGGGTTCCCAATAAAGTGTGGGTTTTTTGACAAATTGTAGCGTAAAACTTGTGTTTGACATTATACACAACATACACATCTTACCAGATCCGAATGTCAATATCTTCTAACTTTATTTACATTCAAATCAACATTTGTTTCAGAATCTAAAAAGAATATTTAAAAGCGATTAATAACAAAATTTAAATAAGCTATACTTTATAAATTTAACAGGTCAACATTTTGCAAAATATGCTTATTCTCTTTCTGAGAATAGTTCTTACGTCTTATTGATCAGTGGCCATGTTTCCTAGACCTATACCACGTTTGAAGCCTTGATTGTTGAAATGAAATCTGCTCAATCAACATGATTATCTAAAGGTCACCAGGGGCCTCGAGCTCTGCAGCTTTTGTTATTAGTAACTTCTAATTTGGGGGATTTAGGATTTAAATTGTATTCACTGTAATGTGTAAAAATCAACTAAGGAAAAGAAAGATCATGGAGGCAAAAGTAAAAGGACAGTACAACTATAAAGCAACCATTTCTGAACCGTGCAAAGCTAAAAAAAAAAAAGGATGTTTAGGTCCACCCATCTAAAAATACACATTTTAGATGGGATTTGGGGGAGTGGGAGATGTGTGTGTCCCTCAGCTGGGATGTTTTCCCCCCACTTTGAATCTAGGGCAAAACTCTATAAGGCAACAGGAGGTATGGCTCGACAGATGGGAAGAAGGGAATATGTGTTTTTAATCGATGGGGGAAAGAGAGAGAGGGGGGCTGCGGCAGAAAGGTGAGGAGGGGCAGTGGCGGTTGGGGTCGGGGTGAACATGTTGAACAGTGCCAAAATCACAGACACATCTGCTGTTCATCTCGAATGTTTCCAATAAGCTTTAAATGTTTCCTGAAGCCCTGTGAAAGAGCCCTGCACTGCCAAGGCAGAAAGGGGGTCGGCGTTTGATTTTCTTTGCGTGTTGAAATAGGTGGTCTTTCACCCTTTCTTCATTTGAGATTCACATCATCTACAAATTAACCAAAACTTGAGTGAAATGCACATCTCCACAGCACACATCCACACGGCTAGGAAGGCAAATAAGTGCCTTTTAATGTGCTCAGTGAGTCAGGCAGAAAAGCAAATGCCAAGCACCCACAAAAGTACACAGCTGCTTCAAGCAAGTGTTGACAACTATGTTTTTATAGGAATTAAATATTGCTCTTAAGCCCGCCCAGAGTAACCGCTGCACACCTGTGACTTACATCACTCGGGCTCCGATTGCACGCCATTAAATCAACACGTTCGCCGTTTGACGCATCACGCACAGACTCGATATGTATATAACGTGCCTCGCCCGCAACCACATACGCATACCTAAGACTGTCAGAAGTATCAAAGACCGATATGTTGACACCCTCAGCCCCATCCCCCCCCCCCCCCCCCCACACACACACACACAGCTTATATCCTCTGGCTGTGAGTTTGCCAGCAGCCAGCTGGTACTGTCATGTCTGATAGGCTGGAACAGAGGGAGAGAGAGACGGAGACGAGGCCGGGAGAGGAAAGAGGGAAGGAGGGAGGCAAGCTGGGAAAATGTCGACAGCAGAATGCATTAGTAAGATTGGGAAAACTGTATCAAACCCTGGCAACTCATTACACTGTCTCATTTGGGTCCACAGGGAGTTCCCCCCCGCCTCCTTCATCCCAATGCTCTAAACGGCAGGACATTTTTCTTTGTCTGCCGTCCCCTTCTTTTCTTGAGAGACCTCCCGTTTGAGTTTTTGATATTTTTCACTTGATAATTATTAAGTAAACTAAATTTAATCATGACGGGGATGGATTGCGCA